CAATTGCGACAATTTGTTCGCAATTGTGAGGTAACGAGACCATGCCCAGGTTCGCAATGCGAGGCCTGTTTGCATTTGCGAGCTTCGTAATTTCGAAGCTCCTGTCGCAATTACGACATCTGCGACCAGTTAATTGGGAATTAGACGAAATTTTCTTCATTTTTCAAACTCTCTCAAACCCTGAGCTCTATTGGGCGATTTTCTAAAGAAAAGTTCTTCTTCAAATCAATTGTAAGTCGTTTCTAACTCATTTTCTTCAATCTATAACATATTTTTACATGATTTCAATTCAAAATCAAGGGTTTTCATGGGGGAATTGGGTGTTTTGGGTAGAACTTAGATTTTCAATTTTTGGGGATTTGGACCTCGATTTGAGGTCCGATTTCAAAATAAATTATATATTTGAGTTCGTGGGTGAATGAGTAATCAGGTTTTGGTTTAAACCTCGGGTTTTGACAATGTGGGCCAGGGGTCAATTTTTGACTTTTTGGGAAAATCATTAGAAAACCTACTTTCATGCATTAGAATTGATTCATTTAGCATTTATTGAGATCGTTAAGTAAATTGTGGCTAGATACAAACAAATTGGTGGTAGAATCGAGGGGTAAAGTAGTAGTTGAGGCTTGATTGTATTCGTGGCATTGAGGTAAGTGTTTGGTCTAACCTTAGCTTGAGGGATTAGGGGTTGAGTCTTATTTTCTATGTGTTAATTGTTGAGTACGACGTATAGGTGTGGTGACGAGTATCTATACGTCGGTGTCAAGCATGCCCGTGAGTCTTATACTATGATTGATGTGACTCCGTTTTATATTGTCCATGCTTAATATGATGATTTCTAATGTTGATAAAGGCTTATGGGAGTATTCTTGATAATTGAACATTGTAGAGCATTGGCTCAAGTTGAGAATTGAGTTGTGAAGTAATTTTGTGGAAAAGAGAAGAGGTTTATGATATTGTCTCCCTTGTCGGGATGTTATTGCTTTTGATATTATCTCCCTTGCCGGGATGTTATTGCTCATGATATTGTTTCCCTTGCCGGGATACTATTGATATACTATTGTTCCCTTGCCGGGATTCTATTGTAATTTTATTGATTCCCTTGCCCGCATTGCTTTGTGATTGTTGTTTGGGTAAGGAAGAGTGTAAAAACATGAAGGGTGATGTCGTACGTGATATTTGTGAGTGAGTGTTAATACACGAAGAGTGATGCTGTGCCGAATTTGTAAATGTAAAAGCACGAATGGTGATGCCGTGCACTTGTGATTGGTTTCCTTATTATTGCTTATAGTTGAATTTTTGGTATTCTATATGCTTCTTTACTGAATTTCTATTTGTACATAATATTCCCCCGAGCTTGTTTCCCCTTCCCATCTTTAACTGCTAGTTTCTGTCGTTATTACTTGTTGTATATGATGTAACTGCGCAAGTTTATTTGGTAGTCTTGTCCTATCCTTGTCACTACTTCGCCGAGATTAGGCTCGACACTTACCAGCACATGGGGTCGGTTGTGCTGATACTACACTCCGCACTGTGTGCAGATCTCGGTGCTGCAGCTTTTGGACCACAGTGAGGTTACTGCCTTCAGCCTAGTGGCGGAGACCCGAGGTAGTCCTGCAGACGTCCGCAGGCCTTGGCGTCCTCTTATATCTTTCCATTCTGTTTCTTTTATGTATTTTAGAGACAACTTTATATTTATCTTTCAGACCACGATTTATAGTATTCGTAGATAGTCTGTGACATTGTGACACCAAATTCTGGGTAGAGCTGTATTTTGGATTATGCGCTAGTATATGGTTAAACTATTAGTTTTCGTCTTCCGCATTTCCGTTTATTATAATTATTCCGCTGTTGATCACCTGTTATATTGAACTGTTAAAAATGCTAAGTAAAAAGGTTAATGAAGCTATAATACTCGGCTTGCCTAGCTTTCATGAGTAGGCGCCATCACGACTCCCGAGGGTAAAAAATCCGGGTCGTGACATTTCCAAACACAACCAATGCTTTACTTGATTGAAGGGAAATTACAACCAACTCACTACTACTGGGAATTAGAAATTGCTAAACGAAATTACATCAAAAGAGATGAGAAACATATATAGCAGAATAATACTAACAACAGCCTGCATATTCTCCTACTTTGCCTCTTATTTATACTTTGCTCTATACTCTTCTTCACATAAATCTGCTCCTATTTAAAGTCATGCTTGAGCTCGTAGTTGTTTGACGAAAAAATGTTAAGTTTTTTACAAACTAATTAAATAGGAAGATTTAAGGAATATCCTAACCAAAGATAATTCATTCTAGATCTGAGATAATGGACAAGAACAAGCAAGCATAGTTGAACATAAAATATAACCATAATCATAGCTGAATCATTGATTGGCCTTATAAAAAGTCATAAAATCCAATTCGCCGTTCAAGCACTCCGAATACACGACCTCGTCCTTGGCCGAGGTGCGTGTCGTTATAACAATGTATGGATACAACTTCGGCCCAAGTGATCTTTTGCCGTTCCTCTTTATGCGAATTCTCGTATGATCAGATTTCGACCCATACAGTAGTCACGCAGCTTCAGTGGAAGATGCTTTGGCCGAGTGCTTCTTCTAAGAACCATGAATTGGTTGTTATTCACGTGCTCAATCTTATTCCTCAATCTACTTGGACCTTCTTGTGTGACAATAGGAAATGGGCCTGGGTCATGTGGGGCATTCTTACCATATAGGATTAATCGGTTGTACCGATATTCGACCAGTCCATTGTAGACCAGATTCAATCCGCATAAGAGCTCAAGGATATACAAAATTTATTTCGCGTAATAGTGTGTTACCACACAAACCCACGCTAATTCACTACAACAAAAATGGCCTAAGGCCATACCAAGACAACACTTGAAAATTGTTGCCAAAACTGTTTATAGGAACGCTTTTTAAGGGGTGGCCTTTATCGAGCATTTTTGGCCACCGAATTTTAGCAACGGTTACACAATGTTCTTTTGAATTTTAAAGGCTACGCTTTTCACGTGTAGCCAATCCATAAAATTATGGCAACGTTTTAGTCAATATAATGTAACGCTTTAAAGGAGTAGCTGTTTATATGTGCAATTGCGACCCTCCCTAAACGTGCTCTAAAATTCTCTAAAATTTCCTGCTCAGATTTCCCTCTATATGTTTTGGCAAACAATTATGCCCTAAAATACTCTAATTAAAATATGCCTGTCAAATTTATTCACACTATTAGCTGATGTAGTACATGAAATATTTCTTTTCCAAAGTCGATAGAAAATATGTGCATTTGAAATATTTTTTGTTGATTTATTAGTTTATGTAGTGTATGAAATCTACAGAGTTAATATGCTTGAAACAAATGTGATTACAGGATATTAAGAAAGAATATTTAACTTCTTAACCACACAATTGTTGCCCTTATAAAGGTTTAAAATATATGCTTTACAATGTAGACAAAATTGCCACGAATTAAAAGTGTGGCCATAGGGTATTAACAAAAGTGTGACATGTATAGTAACAATGACCCCATTTTATAACGTTGCTTTAGGAGCAACACTTAAAAAGGATGGCCTATAAGGTAACAAAAGGTACACTTCAAAAATGTGGCTATAGGACTTGAAAAACGTTGCCAAGGTGGCCTTTGCTTTACCAAAACCGTTGCCTTATGGCAAAGGTTATGCTTCTTTTGATCACCCCGAAAAAACGTTGCCTTAGGTCAAAAAGTATGGCCTTTGATCAAAGGTCACATTTTTTTTATTGTTTAGGCTACAATTTTTGGTTGGGGTTAAAGGTCTATAATATTGTAGTGTAATGCTACTCCAAAATGGATCTTAGTTGAATTTAATTTGAGTTGGGGCTAACTTTTTCTCAAATCTAGCTTTAGGTTAAAAATCTTACAGAATTGATCGAAATCAACTCCATTGCACCAATAAGAGAAAGCTTTAGGACCCCCATTAACTCACAAGCATGTGCATAGAAGATAGACTGAAAGTGGAAGAAGACGAGTAGTAGTAGAAGAAGAGAAAGTTGGGGGAAAAATAAGAAAATTTCTATTCTTATTGGACCGTTGTCTTGGTATCAATTTGTAATTTATAAACGTTCAGGGCTAATCTCATATGGTTAACTAAACTTTCAATCACAAATAAATCAAAGCATTTCTTTTTTCACTTTTAATTCGCACCAGAAGCTATTTATATTTGATAATCGAAAGTGTATAAAATTTGTATAATTTTTGTATATAATATATAAAATGTTCATATATAAAAAAAATATTTTTCGGCTATTATTGTTAAGTTGTATAAGGAGTATAAGGAAATTGTCACTTAGTTGGGCTTCCTTTTCTTTTCCTTTACTTTCTTTTGTATTGGGCCCAGAAGCCCAAAGTTGTATTTATGCACTCGTTTTATTTTAGTTTTTGGCTCGGTTTAGTCTTTGGCCCATATATCTATGTGTAATTGAACACTTTCATTTGAACTGAATAATTCAAAGAAACAGAAGCTAGAAGCTTCCTTCTTCTCCCTCTTCGTTTATCTCTAACCCTAGATATTCCTTCGCAGATTCACTTCGAATTCAAGCTTTATCATGGTATCAGAGCCCAAATCTAGCTAGATCGGGTGTTTACAAGTCGACCGATGTTACCCTAGAGCATTTACACTGGAGTTTTGCTCTTCCGCGACGATATGTGTTCTTTGTGTTCTTTTTAAAATTTCTGTTGATTTTCTCTGGTGATAACGCCTAAATTCGCGTGTTCTTCTGGTAGTATTGTTCATGCTCTTGTCCAATCGAAGTGATTCAGAATTTCAAAGGAAAATTTTTCAAACTAGGGTTTTGAGATTTTCTGAACTGGTACGTTTCAGCTTGGGATTTTTGACGTGGTTTCGTCCTCGTTTCTCTATAAAAGGCCGTTGTTCCTTCCGGTTGCGAAGGAAACTGGTAACCCTGATCACTTTCTTTTTTGCTGTATGTGTAGATTTTTTTTGTTGATTGTATGTAAAAATGACAAATGACAATAGTCTTCCATCTGAGTTGCTTATTGGTCGCTCTACATCTTCCCGTACTGTATTTCATAAGGATGACTATACTCACCTATGTCATCCCCTTTATGTACATCCAACTGACGTGTTGGGGTCTTCACTAGTTCCTGTGCCTTTTGACGGCATTGGGTATGGGAGTTGGAGACGAACTATTCTTGTAGCCTTATCTGTTAGAAATAAATTGGATTTCATAAATGGATCCTCAATTAAACCTCCTGATAGTTCTCCCTTGGCGGGACAGTGGCAGAGGTTTAGTGATTTAGTCGTCTCATGGTTAACCAAATCCTTGTCCAAAGACATTGCTCGCAGTATTGAGTACTCTGAACTTGCCAAAGATATTTGGACTGAGTTGGAGGAAAGATATGGTCAGGCAGATGTTGCAAGTGTTTTTGAGCTTAAAAAGGAATTAGCTCACATCTCTCAAGGCTCTCTTGATATTGCCTCATATTTCAATAAGATAAAGCAAATTATGGGATGAAATTGATGCTTTGTCTATTAGTAGAGTCAGGTCTTGCAGCAACTGTGGTTTTAAAGCTAATTATCAGAAGGATAATGATGTCCAAAAAGTGTATCAGTTTCTAATGGGACTCAATGATACATATGTGCAAACCAGGAGTAACATCTTTATGATTAAACCATTCCCTTGTGTAACAACTATCTACAGTATATTGTTGTCAAATAAGAAGCAGGGGCAGGTTTCTACCTCTCCCCAGTTTCTCCCCACATCTTCTTCTTTCAATGTTGGTGCGTCCAAACAAGGTTTTCCCTCCAGAGTCAATTTTGATGTTCAGAAGTCACCTGTGTGTGAGTATTGTAAGAAACCAGTTCATATTATTGACAAGTGTTACAATTTGCATGGTTATCCTCCTAATTTCAAATTTATAAAAGGGTCTGGAAGTAGAAAGACTACAGCTCATGTTGAAGTCTATTCTGTTGATCCTCCTGCTAGTGTGGTTTCTAATATGGGTTCTGATTCTATCAAACCTTCTGATTCTGGTGTTGTTCCAATGGTTCCTGGTCTTACACAAGATCAATTCTCCCAGCTGATGATGTTACTACAACAATCCCATGTTTCTGTTGATTCCTCTTCTCCTCCCTCTCTTATGGCTTCTACTAACTTTGTTGGTAAGCTGTTATCAGAAAGCATTTTGCTCAAGTCATGTATGTTGTCACAAGTAGATAGCTTTGTTTGGATTATAGATTCTGGAACATCTGACCATATGACCTCAAATAAGGACCTATTCTTTGACTTGTAAACTCTACATGTGCCATGTCTAGTTTCCCTTCCTAATGGATATAAAGTGAAAGTTCATTTAGTAAGATCTTTGACTTTATTTTCAAATTATACAATTCATCATGTCCTTTATGTTCCTTCTTTTCAATATAATCTCATATCTGTTCATAAATTGCTAGATCAATACAATGGAATTGTTCTGTTTACTAGAACTCTTTGTACTATACAGGCCCCTTCTCTGAATATGCCTCTGGTTCTTGGTAAACTGGATCACAACCTCTACAAGCTTCTCCTACCTCCTGTTGCTTCTGACAATGCCACATATATCTCCTCTTGTATTGATAATTCTTCCTTTGTTTCTCCTGTCTGTGCTTTACCTGAAACAAATAAAATTGTAAAAGCTATTACAAGTGTAAATGTTGTTGGTTCTTATGAGAGACATGTGACTACTGATGTAAATTTGAATGACATAAATAAAATGGATGTGGTTTGGCATTATAGACTTGGGCATGTTCAGTTTTCTAGAATGAAATATATTCCTAAACTTGGGCTACTGCTGTCTACTAAACAATCCTTTTCTTGCCCAATATGTCCTCTAGCCAGGCAAACTAGACTACCCTTTCCTGATAGCAGTATCTAAACCACCAAAACCTTCCAATTAATTCACATTGATACCTGGGGACCCTATCATTCACCTACATATACAAGGTCTAGATATTTTATAACCATCATTGATGACTTTATAAGAGTCACTTGGACCCATCTGATGGGAGCCAAGAGCAATGCCTTTGAACTTCTAAAAGCCTTCATTGCCATGACTGAAACCCAATTTCAATTGAAGGTTCAAACTGTAAGGAGTGATAATGCCCTAGATTTAGGATCCAGCACTATGGGATCCAAATTCTTTTCTGAAAAGGGAATTTTACATCAGACCACTTTTCCTCATACTCCACAACAGAATGAAGTTGTGGAAAGGAAGCACAGAAATGTTATGGAGACTGCTAGAGCCATTCTTTTCCAATCTGGCCTCCCCATTAGATTTTGGGGAGATTGTGTCTTAACTGCAACATACTTGATTAACAAATTTCATTCTAGTCTCTTAAAGGACAAAAGCCCTTATGAGGTTCTGTATAACAAACTCCCAACCTACTCCAATCTTAGAGCTTTTGGTTGCTTGTGCTATTCCACTATCCCAAAACCTCATAGAGATAAGCTATAATCTAGGGCTATTCCTTGTGTATTTTTAGGATATCCTTTTGGAAAGAAAGCCTACAAGTTATATGACTTGAAAAATAAAAGTTGTTCTGTTTCTAGAGATGTTGTATTTCATGAGCATATATTCCCTTTTCTTAAATGTGATTCTGTTTCTCCTACTATGACTAATTTTTCATTTTTTGCCGTTTTGATCACACAAATAAGCAACTTTCTACTTCATCTCATGATTGTTTCTCTCCTATACAATCTGAAGCAACTCATCCCTTTCCTAATCCTGGTATTTCCCCTGCTTCTACACTGCCTGCGGATATCTCTCTCTCCTCTCCTGATTCTTCTCCTTCTTCTGACTGTCCCTCTTTTCCACACTCTGAATCTACCATTCCACCTTGCAATTTTGAATCTGACTTAGTCTCTTCTCCCCAACCTGAATCTGCCCTTCCTCCTTATAATCTTGAATCTAATTTTCCTCCTTTAAGGAGATCATCTAGACCTCATAATCCTCCTACTTACTTGCAGAATTATATCTACACACTCCCATCTACTTGCTCCAGATTTGCAAATTCTTGTATTACAACTGTCTCTAGTAAACCTCATATATTTGAGCCAAATAGCTATTCTCAAGCAGTAGTTGTCCCTGAGTGGAAGGAAGCTTTGAGAAAAGAGTTTGAGGCACCGGAGGCAAATGGAACTTGGGATATAGTTGAATTACCCAAAGGCAAGAAATCTATTGGTTACAAATGGGTATATAAAATTAAGTACAAAGTTGATGGGAGTATAGAAAGTTATAAGGCTAGACTTGTGGTGAGGGGTGAAACACAAATTGAGGGCATAGATTTTCATGATACTTTATCACCTATTATTAAAATGTCCACTGTTAAAAAAAATTAGTTGGTATAGTTGTTAAACGAAATTGGCCTTTGTTTCAATTAGATGTTAATAATGCTTTTCTGCATAGGGATTTAGATAAAGAAGTGTTTATGAAAATTCCACCTGGTCTATCTATTTCTTCTTCCACACAAGCTGTCCCATTCCAATCTTCTTCCACTTTACTGGTTTGCAAACTAAAGAAATCATTATATGGTTTAAGGCAAGAAACAATGCAATGGTATGACAAATTATCTCACTCTTTATCTTCTAGAGGGTATGTACATTACATGAATGATTACTCCATGTTCACTAAGAGTTCCGGTGATAGTTTGGTTATTTTAGTAGTTTATGTTGATGATATTATTATTAGGCAAAATGACTTCCTGGCCATTTAAATTTGTACGAATTTTGAAAGCAGATACACAAACTTTAGTCTTTCCCATTTAAACACTCAAACTCGTAAAACCTATAACTAATAAACACCTTTGACCATTGACTTTGCTTATGTGGCAGTAGCTTATCTTACGTGGACATAGTGCGTACAAGTCACATTCAAATGGCGTGTGTGTGTGCCGATTTCCATAATAGAAACACCCTCCCC